CATTTTTTGGCTACATATTTGTGCTCAGGAAAATGGAAACTAGGAAGAGACAGGATCCACCTGATGAAGAGACGGAAAAGCAACTTCACAGACAGGCTTGCTAACCTAGTGAGGAGTGCTTTAAATTAGGTATGCTGGGAGATGGAGACCAAAGCCTTGAGGTAAGTGGAGAAGTGGGGGACCTGGAGGAAGCAGAAGCAGGAGAGGGCAACATGGGAGGTCTCCTCATTCTTCCTGAGAAAGTAGGGCAATCAGCTAGTTACCTTAGGTGCCTGTACAGAAATGCATGGATCCCGGGAAACAAGTCGGAAGAATTAGTAGTCCTCACCAGTCAAGGAACTATGACGTGATTGAAATAACAGAGACTTGGTGGGATAGCTTGCATGACTGGAGCACTGTCGTGGATGGGCACAAACTGTTCAGGAAGGACAGGCAGGGGAGAAGAAGCGGAGCAGCTGTGGTATATGTAAAAGAGCCATATGATTGCTCAGAGCTCCAGTATGAAACTGGAGATAGGCCTGTTGAACGTCTCTGGGTTAAAGTCAGAGGGGAGAGCAACAAGGGTGATGTTGTGGTTGGTGTGTGGTCTAGAACAGGGGTTTTCAACCCGGAGTACATGTACAACTGGGGGTATTTGAGATGGCCTCAAGAGGTACATCTGACGCTGGCATGCTCACCAATTGGCTGTAGGAGACACCACCCCTCCCCGCAGTCACTGATAGGTCTCTGAAAGGGAGACTCCTTCCTTCCCATCCAGCCGCCAGGGGTACACTGACCCCAAAATGTTGAAAACCCCTGCTATAGACCACCAAAGAGGATGAGGTAGATGAGACTTTCTTCAGACAACTAGCAGAAGTTTCCAAATCACAAGCCCTGGTTCTCAAGGGGGACTTCAATCCCCCTGACATCTGCTGGGAGGGCAATACAGCAGTGCACAGGCAATCCAGGAAGTTTTTGGAGAGTGTTGGAGATAACTTTCTAGTACAAGTGTTGGAGCGGCCAACTAGGAGCTGTGCTCTTTTTCACCTGTTGCTCACCAACAGGGAAGAATTGCTGGGGAATGTAGTAGTGGATGGCAAGCTGGGCAGCAGTGACCACAAGATAATTGCATTCAGGATCCTGACAAAAGGAAGACAGGAAAGGGGCAGACTATGGACCCTGGACTTCAGAAAAGCAGACTTTGACTTGTTCAGGGAACTGACGGGCAGGATCCCCTGGGAGGCCAGGCTGAAGCAGAGAGGATTCCAGGAGAGATGCTTATATTTTAAAGAAATCTGACTGAGGGTGCAGAAACAAACTATCCTGATGTGCAGGAAGAATAGCAAATAGGCAAGCAACCAGTTTGGCTTAGCAGAGAACTCTTTAGTGACCTTAAAGAGTTTCAGTGCTTTTAGTGACACAAAAAAAAGCTTATAAGAAGTGGAAACTTGGACAAACAACTTGAGAGGAGTATAAGAGCATTGCTTGGGCATTCAGAGATCAAGTCAGGAAGGCCAAAGCACAGTTGGAGTTGCAGCTAGCAAGGGATGTGAGGGTAACAAGGAGGGTTTCTACAAGTATGGAAAAGGCTGAAGTACTCAGTCTTCACAGGCAAGGTCAGCTCCCAGGCTACTGCATCAGGCAGCACAGTTTGGGGAGGAAGTGAGCAGCCCTCAGTGGTGAAAAAACAGGGTTGGAACTACTGAGAAAAGCTGGACGTGTACAAGTCCAAGGGTGCTGAGAGAGTTTGCTGATGTGATTGCAGAGTCACTGGCCATTATCTTTGAAAACTCATGGTGATCGGGGGAGGTCCTGAATGACTGGAAAAGGGCAAATATAGTGTCCGTCTTGAAGAAAGGGAAGGAGGATCCAAGGAACTACAGACCAGTCAGCCTCACCTCAGTACCTGGAAAAATCATGGAGCAGGTCCTCAAAGAATCCATTTCTAAGTACATAGAAGAGAAAAAGGTGATTAGGAACAGGCAGCAAGGATTCATCAAGGGCAAGTCATGCCTGACCAACCTGATTGCCTTCTATGATGAAATAACTGGCTCTGTGAATGTGGGAAAAGCAGTGGACATAATATACCTTGACTTTAGTACAGCTTTTGCTACAGTTTCCCACACCATTCTTGCAAGCAATCTGAGGAAATATGGGTTGGATGAATGGACAGAAAGGTGGACAGAAAGCTGGCTGGATTGTCAGGGTCAATGGGTAGTAATCAATGGCTCAATGTCTAGCTGACAGCTGATACCAAGTTGAGTGTCCTAGGGACGGTCCCGGGCCCAGTTTTGTTCAATATCTTCCTTAATGATCTGGAAGATGGGATGGAGTGCACCCTCAGCAAGTTTGTGAATGACACCAACCTGCGAGGTGCAGTAGATACACCGGAGGGTAGGGCTAGGATTCAGAGTGACCTAGACAAATTGGAGGATTGGGCCAAAAGATCTCTCATGAAATTCAACAAAGACAAGTGCAAAGGTCTGCACTTAGGATGAAAGAATCCCATGCACTGCTACAGCCTGGGGACTGACTAGCTAAGCAGCAGCTCTGCAGAAAAGGACCTGGGGGTTACACTGGACAATAAGATGGATATGAGTCAGCAGTGCGCCCCTGTTGTCAAGAAGGCTAATGGCACACTGGGCTGCATTAGTAGGAGCATTGCCAGCAGATCAAGGGAAGTGATTATTCCCTTCTATTCTGCACTGGTGAGGCCACATCTGGAGTACTATGTCCAGTTTTGGGCCCCCCACTATGGAACGGATGTGGACAAGTTGAAGAGATTCCAGTGGAAAGCAAGAAAAATAGTTCAGGGGCTGGGGCACATGACTTATGAGGAAAAGCTGAGGGAACTGGATTTATTTGGTTTGGAGAAGAGAAGACTGAGTGGGGATTTGACAGCAGCCTTTAACTGGAAGGGGGGTTCCAAAGAGGATGGAGCTAAACTGTTCTCAGTGGTGACAGATGACAGAACAAGGAGCAATGGTCTCGAGTTGTAGCAAGGGAAGTTTAGGTTAGATATTAGGAAAAACTCTCTCACTGGGAGGGTGGTGAAGCACTGGAAAAGGTTACCCAGAGAGGTGGTGGAATCTCCATCCTTGGAAGTTTTTAAGGCCCATCTTGATAAAGCCCTGGCTGGAGTGATCTAGTTGGGGATGGTCCTGCTTTGAGGAGGAGGTTGGCCTAGATGACCTCCTGAGGTCCCTTCCAACACTAATGTTCTATGATTGTATGAAACGTGATCAATGGCAGTACCCCAATAGCACAGTCAGGCCAAATATAATCAAATCTCATCCTAATCTTTCTTTTCAGTCTTCTTAAATAATCCCATAATCAACATAAAGAAGTAAAGATTTCCAAATTTAAATTTATTTTTCTTTGCCCCAATAAACACATTTCTCTAGAGTCTGTGTCTCACACACTGAATGCAATATGTCAGTATAAAAAGTGGCCTAATGAAACGAAGACTCATGTCCAGAAATTCTGATTTTCTGATCGTGGTTATGCTGATCTCTGATGGAACTGTTTATTTCATTGCACGTGTTATTAATTGACTTCACTAGGAGAAGAGAAATGGGCCCCAAAGTGATAAATATATCCACAAAAACAAATGATGAATTCAAGCTTTAATTGAGAGTATTATACCTTCCTTTTTTTTTTAATGCTACCGGGTCTGCATCTATGGCTGAAAAATAAAAGTCCATGACATTCATGTGGGACTGACATCTCAGCAAGTACAAAAATAGAAAAAGGAACTCACAAATCTGGAAACAACCAAAACAAGGAGGCACCTGCATCTACAGGTATGGATATTCTTATTTGTTCAACTTAATTGATGCAGTCACTAACAGTAAGTACTGAAAGAGAACGAGAGATTCTCATCAACCATGAACCAACTGTTACCAGTAGGAAACTATTTCAAAATTAACTGCTATGTCAGCAGTGACTGAGTAATTACCATCTTGAGGCTATTTATTTGACGATCTACAGGACAGTGGATTTCCAGCCTGGTAGATGTGTTCCCTGGCAGATGTGTTTTCAGTCACAGAATTCATCTCCATAACTGGCATCTTCTACTGAAAAACAGAACAGCCAGAGAGGCGGTTCCTCCAGACCTCCTATCAGAGGACTGGAAAAAAGAGCTGGTATTAATTTGTCTTAATGTAGAGCACATCCTGCTACTCATCTCAAATATGGATAAGTGTCTGCCATGCATCTCTAGCAGAAGATGCCCTTAAGAACTGACTTCACCCCTGGACAGGGTGCAGTGCAAGGCATAAGCACCATTTAACACCATCTTGCTTAAGAAACAAGTGAAATTCTGGCCCCACTAAAATCAAGGGAGGTTTTCACAGGAGCCAGGATCTCTGCCCACAAGTTCAAGTGGTACTTTTGACCCTCTGCAGAAGGGTCCTTTTCAATGTAAGGGTCAACCATGGAGTCTTCCATACAAGCAATGCACCCACTAGGGTTAGTAAACCCCAATTTTGTACTTCTTACCCAACCAAAATTAATGAGTTTGTCTGCACAAAGGCTGCAGGACCAGGCCTAGCTGCAGCCTGGTCTGAATATGCACAGTAGAATCCATTCCAAAGCTTGCATGCACTGATCAGACATTGGCTGCAACTAATGACTTCCGCCTGATGTAAATCATTTCTTCTAATGCCTCTGCTGGACTTACACTGTGGTAATCCTGTTGCAAGAGAGAACTTGAAAACGTCCCTTAAAAATTTCTCTCAATCAGAGGACTCCCATCACAATAATGCATAGGTTTCAAAATCTGGAAGGGTCCTCTCTTCCTTTGCAGTAAGTGCTGATTTACACCAAGTGAGGATCAGGCCCCATATTTTACATGACTCCATTAACCTAAAAATAGAGTAATAATGAAACTTCTCTGACACCTCCAGGTTTGCCAAATGGTGTGCGCCCAGCAGGTTATATTCAATCCCCTGTGCATGCTAATAATCCTGCTTTAAGAAAGTAAGATGAAGAGGCAAGGCAAATACACCAATAAATGCATAAAGTTACTTTATTTTCAGTATACATTTAATTTTGAAAAATATAAATGCTAAAATATCTCATCATCTTCATCTTTTGATTCCATAAAAGTCACAATAGAAAGCTTCATAAAACTGTAAAACACTATCATGTTATAAGGAATTTCAGGTTTTATATTACTGGAAAAATCATTTATATATTGAAATGTTTCCTCTTTTGTCATTTTGTTCCACCATCTTGATCTACTTCATTTAAAAATAAGTCTTTATTCTTTCCTCCAAAGCAAATACAGACTCAAGAGAATTAAAAATAATAATAAAAGTATCTGAAAGTGCATGTTGATTCTGAAAAAAACAGAACAGATGCATCTCAGCCATAGGAATGGCTACCAAGATGACAGAGGGAGACATCAACATTCACACATTGTAGGTCTGGGATAAAGTTTTCTGCAGTGTATTATTTTTTAAAGTTTCACTTGATGACAATAGCCCTGAGTAGACCTCACTTTGCAGTATTTGTATGGAAAACTGCTTTTAGCAGCTTACATCTTTAAAAGGTTCTCACTGTCTTCAAAAGACTTAGAAGTACACCCTGAGAACCCAAACATGATGAGCTCAACTCTGCCCTCTTCCCTCCCACAATATCCCAGTTCTGGGAAGGCTGGGGAGGGGGAGGAAGCTGGGCCCATAATTTAAGTGCTAGCCTGGAACCTTGAAGATACAGGTTCAGTCCCCTGCCCCGCCACTGCTATCTTAAGCGACTTTCAGCAAGTCACTTATCCACTAATCCATGGGAGGAACATGCTCATTGCAGGCTTCTCAAAATGACCTGCAATTCCTCTGACCCTACATTACATGGGTGCGATGATCACAAATTAATATCAAAAGTCTGAAAGAATGCAATGAAACTGTTTCATGTAACCCTAGATGAGCCAAGTTTGTAAAAGGGCCATTTTACTGCACTTAGCCTTTTGGTGTTGGCAGGTTGTTTTTTTTAAATAAAGTTAATCAAAACTTTTAGCAAAGGGCTAAAGCCACGGAAATTTGAAAAGACAAATGTCACACTCCTGCCATCAAAGAGTTAAATGATTTTACATGGAAAAATAAAGAAATCTTTGTCCCATCCCTGTACAATGCTACCTTCTGTACAACAGTTCAGTCTGTTTTAAAAAAAAGAAAGATATAGATCAGCAGTCAATACATTTCAAGTACATTTAACATGGTTTAAAAGTGGAAGACCTTGTTGTCTGGAGATTGATCGCCAGGTAATAGCAGATGAAAAGATTTAAAGAGAAAGAGAGAGAGAGAGAAGGAGAGAGAGGAGCACCCTGCCTTTTGAGTAAACTATAAGCAATTCTTACTCTCCATTCCTTAAGTGCTTTCTAGGGAAATCTGCTCGCTATCCACACTGATTACTTTAGGTCAGCCCTTCCTCAGCATGCACATTTCTCTTGGTAGAACTGAAAGGCATGGACAAAACCAGAGAACAAAAACCTACACAGAGGGCATGTCTACATGACACATTGAGTGTGCAGTAGCTGAAAAACACCGCGTAGTAGCACTACACAGCACAGTGCTAGTACGCTACTGTACCGTATTATTAGGCTACTGCACTGTAGCGTCACTTAAAAAACATTTGCCTGCACTACTGTGCAATACCTCTGGTTACTGCTACTTGCTAATACAAGTACTAAATAAATGCGCAGTAATGATTGCACAGTAGCATCTCATGTAGATGTGCCCAGTGTGCGCTCTGGACATGGTACTTGGATCTTTTGTTTCATGTTGCAGTAGGCAGTGATTCTTTTTTTTTTTTTTTCAACAAAGGAATGAAAACAGTCTTTTATGTCTCTTATTGATTTAACATTGCACTACCAGCTATACAGCACAACCCTGATTATACATCCTCCAGTTAACCAAAACAGTCAGCTTATGCCTCACACACCCTGCTTTCTAGGAACCCTGAATGTTTCAGATGTCTCCTACACTTCTCTGAAAGCAAGACTAGACTATTTACAGTGAGGTCATCTGTCAAAGCAGCAAGCAGAGGCTGTATTCCCTTCCCCTTGTTACTATCACTGACTTCTATCCCCTTGTCACCAACAGTGAATGCAATGTTTTGTTTTGTTCTGTTTAACCAGGACTGTAGATCCCCTGATACTGAGCTGGAATGATGCAAGAAAAAAAAACACACACCAGCTAATGAATGTGTTGGGATACACACTATTGTATCTGGTAGTTAAATTCCCCAACTTTCTAACTTTAATATTGTTACAGGAATACTGCAGCTCTCAAATATAGCAGCTTCAATAGCTAGAGATAAAAGGGCAGATTCTGGGCTGGTGTATCTCAGTGCACCTCCACCTGCCCATTGTCCCTAACCAGGACCCCATTACTATTACACTGGTATATATGGTTGTCATCTTCCAATCCAGCATTTTATTTAGAAGTAACATTTTCAGAGACTCCTACAGCATATCTGAAAAAGTAGGAAAAAAATCTACCAATATCCTGCCCCTGTGACTGCTGGTATAGCTCTTGTCAGGGATCTGAAACTAACATTTAGCAGATGAGTTCTCAGCATCATCCTGAAATATCTAATCCTTTATTTTAAATTATGTTAATTATGGCTTTGCTGGCCAGTAATCTATAGCATCATGCTTAGTTCATGAAAAAAAATTAAACTGACCCAAGTATTAAGCATTATAAAGTAATTTCTGTGTGCATATCATTTTTTTAAATGCAGCCAGTATCCAACATTCGTCTAGACCCAATGTCCACTGAAACCAATGGAAATGAACCCGTTGTTTCAGAAAGCTTCAGATCAGAAACATCCTGCTTCATTGCTGCCAATGGGAGTTTTATCACTGATTTCAATGCACCAGGATCAAGCCCATAAATAGCTGCAAACTAACATACTGTTGTTGGGAACCCATACTGATGTGGGTTGTGGCTACTGTTAAAGCATTTGATTGCTATGGAGGTAAAAAGAGTAAGGGGCCAGATTTTCCCCCTTCAGTTTTATTCACAGATACAGGGAATTTGACCAAGAAGCAAGTAAAACTGTAGTAGTACCAATGACCTTGCTTCGTGAGCCATATATATATCTTCCACTATCTCCATCCCATTGCAAAGATGCTCTGTAGGGATGAGATAATAGCTGCTCTCTGCTGTAAATTATTTTTTCTAGGTAAAGGACCAATTTTGCCTTGAACACATGCTGCATTTCTTGTACCCACTGTAGGTGCAAGGTAACATTTTCAAACACTTTGCAGTTGAAGCATGTGTATACATTTCCTTGTAGTGCCCAATTTTCAAAATATTGGAGTTTATTTTCGTATTTTATATATACACACACATATATAGGAAAGAATAAAAGAAATCTGAATTGCAAGGTCATATTTGCCTGCTTTGTTTAAAACAAAAAGTGTGTGTGTGTGTGTGTGTGTGTGTGTGTGAGAGAGAGAGAGAGAGAGAGAGAGACAGAGCGCGCATACAAGAGGGGAAAAGGGAGAGGGAGAGAGAGTGCCTACAGTATCATCTTCCAAAGATGCATTCTAAATGATGGAATAAGCAGTAAGAAAGTATGGTGAGCTCTGTACACAATAGTGAACAGGTCAGGGAGTGTAGTACATGTACCCACATTCAGCAGGTAGACCTTCAAGACTTGCTGGTAGCTTTGTCAGAGTAGGGGCTGTCAATGTGTATCCAGGTAGGCAAATGTGAGACATCATCTCCTTAACCACAGCACAATCACTCTGCATTATATGCAAGCATGCTCAGCCACACACATACACGCACACACAACGGTGTCTGTAAAGAAAATAATTCTAACAGTATTGCATAGGAAATCAACAAAATGAATACAATCAGAATCTGTCCACTGACACAGTTAACCAGTCACTACTTCAGTTATTGCCATTAAATTTAAGACTCTTTCTAAATCATGAGAGTGTTAAGATACAGCCCATCTCCTTCACAGTAATGTTAGATTAAAAAAAACAACTAAGAAAACAGATGCTTCAGAAAGATATTAATAAAAGTGATCCCGCCCTATGCCATGCCCTGGAGATAGTGTTTTTTTTCTCTTTTTTTTGTAAAAATCACATTATATGGTACAATACATTTTTACAGAAAGCCTGGCATCTAGAAATAAGAGGTAGAACTACTCAAAACTATATATGTTTCCTGCTGCAGGAAAAAATTCATTTTTTTACAGTAATTAAAAAAAGGTTAAAAAAATTGACAAAAAAGTTGCAGGTTAGGCCCCCATAATTTAAACAAAATAATCTAGGAAAATAACACTCTTCAATGTACCTGACAGATTAAGTCCATTAAGGTGTTAAAAAAAAGTTGCATAGGAAAGGGACATTTCAAAACACATGCTACAATGATGGCAATAGTACATCTGTTCCGATAGTGAAGTACCTTTTAAGTTTTCCTTCTCTTGATACTACAAATATAGGCTTTAAGAACAAGTTAGTGTAGCAGCACTTTCCAGTAATGTACAGCTGTGTAGTAAAGACATTGAATTAGCCTGGAGGTCAGTTTTGTTCTGCTAGACAGAAAAAAATAAAATAAAAACACTGATTCACAACTAAAATAGTGTCAGTTCCTCTGACATTTAAGAAAGGTATTATAATATATCCGTAAATAATTCTGCCCTCTGCTTAAGAAATGAGAGAGATGTGCACACATGTCTGAGTGAGAGAGAAGGCAAAAATTAAGTGTTGGTCAGAGTGGAAAAGTGGATGGAGCTGAAATAAAGATACTCAGCAGAGAGAGGGACAGGCAGAGGCAGAGGTGCCGCTGTGTGTCAAGTTTACCAATGCAGGAGGGATGCAGAGAGCATTTTTATATTTGGCTACTGACAAAAGAAATTCGGTAGAAGTTTAACAAACAAAACAAATTACAAAGTAGTTTCTGTTCCCTTGCTCCTCCAGAAATAACCATTGTCTTCAGGCTCAAGTTCTATTCTAATTTGAGGCACAACTTTCACTGGAGTATGTGGAGGGCTAAATGCAGAAACAAAAACAAAAAAAACAGAAGTTATAAAAACACATACAAAATTTCTACGTCCTCATTAGCCCACAGTAGCTGATGCTTTTAAAATGCTCTCTCCCCCAACTCCTTTAGACAATACCACTTCTGAGTTGTTAGTGCGTGTAGGTATCTCTATAAGCTTATATCATAATAAAGGTCTCTACAACAGGACTAGTATTCAAGCCTCATTCAACTCATGCAAGTGTAAAGCAAAATTCAGGAATATGCAGTTATGCACATACTAAACATGAATATAGCAAATAACCCAAATGCCCAGTGGTGATAGGTACCTAAAGTCTGTGAGACCTATTACTAACACACAAAGTCTAATTTAATGGCTTGCTCGAAGGCCTGCTGAAATCAGCAGAAAAAGTACCACTGAGTTCAGCTGGCTGTGGATCAAGTCCTAAGACCACACTAAACACACGAGACATCCCATTTATGCACACCATGTGCATAAATAACAGGCTGTGTAACCACTTACCTTGGCATAGTGTGTGACTGAAGAAAAGGAATTTTTTCAGCACGACGTATGGCGCTCAAGGAATGTTGGTGATTTTTCTCCTGTTTGAGGAGGGGTAAAAAGTCTCATGTCAGAGCATGCAACTTTTGTGACATTACCCAGCACAACTCCTATTTGTCTAAGAAAGCCACAAGAACCCGACCATTGTTTATACCAATGGTTTCCTTCCATATGAATTTCAGACACCAAATTAAAGTATTAAATTCATGTCTACTCAATTCGTTAAAACTAGTTTCTCTGTCACCAACACGATACAAAAGACTGCATCCAGAAAATAGGCCTCCATGAACGCAAACATGTAACTGAGTATGCAAAAGTTGGCACTTAGGCAGCTAACATTCTGACAAACCAAATCTAGCATGAAAATGTCTGGACTCTATTATAATCTAGTGATCTGATCAAAGGATTAGGGATTGGGGCCAACAAATTCTAATCCTTGAAACAGAGACTCCTCCTTTGCTTCAAGCATATCTTCTCATACCCTCCCTATCTCCTTTCTGTTCAGTGCATACCTTCCGTCTATCTCCTTATCTACCCTCAATTCCTCTCTTGCATGTCCAAGGGCCTTATAGGATGGTAGATGGCTTGTTGCCATGTGCTTCTTTCTCCTTTACTGCCCCATGGTGATGAAAAGTAAATTGCATTAATAATAATCAGTAACGTAACTGAGCGGGGGTGACTGGGGCAGCAGCAGCCCCAGTTGAAAGAAACCTGAGAAGTGTAGATGCCTTTTTACATTTTGATTTAAAAATAGTGGGAATCCATTCCACAGGCCAACTGCATAAAAGATTAATTAGATATTTATAAAACACTTTGAACAAGAAAAAAAATAGCACAAGCGCTGAGGATGATCAGTGCTATACTTTGGTTTCTAAAATATAGCCTGTCTAAGGATGGTACCACAATGTCGATGGATTCCAACTCCTCTTTCAAGTACCAGGTACCTGAAAATGTTTTTTGTTTTTGGGGTGTTTTTTTTAAATTTTTGCCTTGCCTCTAAATAAAAAGATCCATTTTCATTAAAAAAATTCCCTAAATATATTTACTCAAAGACCATTTTCTTAAGTTTTAATGATTCACCACCACATGATCAAAACACATTCCATTATACAGATTTGTTATGATGGTATCAGCAGGCAACATGATATGGCATCAAGTTTGAGAGAGATTATATTGTTTTTATATGAACAGATACTGCATCTGGGGTTGAAGTGGGATTTTTAGGCTAAACTTCATAATAAAAATAACCTGAGATAATTCTGTGCTGCTTGATTTCTTGGTGATCTTTCTAATAACAAGACAGGACAGGAACTAGACAGATCTTATACCTGTTTTATAATAACACGTCCAAGTAAAAATTCCTTTTACCTGTCATAGGAGCACCACTCGAATTCAACTGGAAAAAACTCCTCTATTTTTCATCATTTAAGATATTTATTTATTTATTGGATGTTAGGCCATTTGTACAGAGAAACAAAAATCATATACTTCAACTATCCCCTATTGTGATCACAACACATGAATTTGAATTTCTAGCACTGAGGGCAAAATATTTACATTCAATTTTGAAAGATCCCTGGAGCCTTTTCTTTCCTTTTTGGGCAGTGGTTGGGGTTGGGGAGGGATGGGGAAGAGAGCAAATTAAATGAGATTTTCTATACATTGTCTGTTTTTGTTTTCTGTTAGTTAAAGCACACACAATTAATGGGTAATATTTTCAAAAACACATAAGTCCCTTTGAAAGCCAATGGCACTTCAACTCCCAAAACGTTTGTTGCCAGCCTCTCAACAATTGTGTTAATACAACCAATTACACTGGTCCGGTCCAATTCCATTATCACAATACAGAGTGTGTCCATATTTCTTTAGTTTCAAAATGTGGCACCCTGTTCTCCGGCATGCTCAACTCTTTCTGTAGTCTCAATGGAGCCTGCTGGAGAGCAGGGGGAGAGGAGTGAATTCAGAGTGCCAGAGCAGGTAAGTGTGTGAGTAACAGTTCAGTTTTCACCGGGACAATCCCATTTTAAACAATGCTTCCAGGTGTCTGGCTGAAAATGGGAGAAAAGCATTCATTTGACAAAACTGATAGGATGCTCAGGACAGATGTTTAAAATGGAACTGTCCAGCAAAATTGAGCTGTACGGTAACCCTAATGCCAAGGCCCATTCATCTCAGGGCCCCATAGGCTTCCTGTAGTTTTCAAAAATCCAGCACAAATAATACGAGATCTCAAAACAATTAATCTGTGATTCTACAAGTATCAAACAGGTTAGGACGACAGAAGATAGAGATGGATATGAATAAAGGTTAAAATGGAAAAAAAATATTATGGATAAATAGAAATATGGAAAGAGTCACAACAGATGAACATAAAAATGGATCACCTAGGAAGGCAAATATGTTAATATGACATGGCTGAAATGACCATCACCTTGTCAATTCAATGAAGATCTATGACACCATATCTTTTTAAGTACTGGTTTGTTTGATTGTTTGTTTTTGCAACTGTTTGCAAACCTAAGGAAACAAACAATAACAGACAGTGGTGCTGTTTCTACATGCTGCATGCAGTCCACAGCACTAATGACGAGGAGAGAAGTAGATAACAGAGTTAACAAAAAAGATGGTAACAACCAGAAATGGACTGAATGACTCGAAGGGTTAGAGAAAGAGCAAATGTGAGAGAACTGTTAGCAGCTGGTTATAGGCAGTCAAGCTGGAGGCATGAGCAACATAAAAGAATAAAAGAACAACAAAAAAAATCTCATTCATAAACTTGGAGCCCAGAAATTAAAAGAAAGAAAAACGCATAGGACAGGTTTAAAAGAAGTCATTGACTAGACTTTCTTCTCCTTTCGGCGGTGCAAGTCAGACTCAAGCAGGCATGCAAGAGGTTAGTTCTACTCACTGTCGGAAGGTTTGCTATCACTTAGGAAAGGTTCCTGTTCCATGATGTCCATTGGAATTTTAATACTTGGGACTTTTTCTGAGTAGGGGCAGTCAGACTGTGAAAGAAATGTGTAAAACATCTTAGAACACTTCCACTGCTGGCCTTCTCTCCTCCTTTCTCTCATTTCCCCCCCACAAATTAAACATCCTTCACACAGCCTCTGGGAAGGCCAGGAAGGGAAAAAAGACCATCCACCTTAGTTATTTCCATGAGCTTGCCTACGCCTATCACATCATGCTTCCTCTTGCTGCAAAAGTAAAACAGGTTAAGAAATAAGCAGTCTCTAGCTTTATCTATACCTCCTCAACATCTCCCTACATTATATCGCTCTGCCCTGTATCCAGCTCCAAACTGAATGGAAAATACAGGTAATAGAATTTGATGAAACCATTTAGATTGGGGGGGTTCAACCTTTTTTAAAGAGTGTACCCCTTCTGGTGGCAGCGGCTGGACACGGCGCTCAGGGGATGGCAGTGGCTGGATGTGGAGTCAGGGGGACTTGCATGTGGTGGTGGCACAGGGTAATGGATGGTGGCTGGCACGTACAAACTCTATACACTGCTATAATTGAGATGACAGATTACGAAAAACAGTCCCACAGCATCCCAGTAGCTGGACCAATTTATCTCCTTGCAGTCTCAACTAGAAAGCTAGTAAAAGTAATTAATTTCCTCAGCTCCTAGCACCCTTGAAGAATCTGTATGATCCTAATGCAGGCAAGAAAAACAAAGAATTGTCAAGAAGCCTTTTGAGGCATTTCAGTGCAAGGAAAACCTGCCAGTGTTTTATCATGGGGTCCAATAAGTTTTCAGCCCAAGGATTTTCCAGGCTTTGTCTCAGACTATGAGGAGGTGATAAACACCAGGTCCAATGAATATGCATATCAGCAGCAAGACAAAATGAAGGACTGGAGAATCTATTCACTTTGCCTACCATTCAGGAAAATATTTAAAACATATGTTTAGGTCCTACTGACATGTTTCCAAGTTAAAAGCTTTGACTAAAATCTCCTCTCCAAAGACAGTGATTCCAGTAGTTAGCAAATAAATTATGTTGTATATTGCCAGAAATGCTTAGACTTCTTTTGTGGAAAGGCTCAGACATTTGGATGATGAAATGGTATGGCATTCTACTTGTGACATGACAAAGCCTGGGAAGGGAGATCTTGTACACAGGTATGGGAGTATATCCCAGAAGAAACATTTAAAATATCTGAGTCCTTGTGCTAAATCCAATGGCCTAACATTTTTTTAAATGACTACTGACTCCTGAGCACCCAAAAATGTAGACACCAAATTGAGAAATTTTCAGGGAACTGGATTTTCAGAATATTCTGAGCTTCTCAAGACTGAAAATGTAGGCACTGTGACAGGGTGCTTAGCTTGTCTGTCACTTTAACAAGGGAAGATGCTGCATAAGAAGCAGACTGCAGGTGTGGCAGGGGCCAATTAGAGAGACACCTGACCAGAAGGGGGCTGGACTTGAAGCATAAAAGCCCAGGGCCTGAGCTGGTCAGGCAATCTAGCCCTAAGGGCCATGGAGAGAGGAGCTCCTGGCAATAAGGCTGCAGCAGAGCTCTTGGGTAACATCTGAGCTGGGGTATGCAACTCTGGAGGTTTCTGGGTGGGACTAAGGGGTGGAAGAAGTCCCAATCGGCCTGTAAATGGAGAGGCCTGGGAGCAAGGCATGGTGAGCCCATAGCCCACAGGGGACAGTAACAGGCCTGGGCCAGAGAGGCCTAAGACAGGTCTAGAGAGCCTGTGGCCTGGAGAAGGACAGGAGAGAGCAGAGAAGCAGAGAGCCAGGAAACAAGGAGGGCCAGGGTGCCCATGGTCTCAACTGGCCTAATAGCAGGTCCAGGGTCTAGGGAGACTGAAGGTCAGGGACCACTGCCAAGGACCAAGGGGGTCAGAGGACCCATAGCCAAGAGAGGGGTGTACACAAGGCAAGGGAGACAAGAGATCGGGGCCAGGGGCCCAAAACTCAGGAGGAGTGGAGATGGGAGGGTAGGATGCAGTATCCAGGAGTAGTTCACAGAGACAAAGTGCCTGGGTGGGGAGTGCAGGCTGAAATGCTGTGCTCAGGAGTAGCTGTAAGAGGTAAAGTGCCTGGGTGCAGAAAGCAAGCCTAGAAGCCACACCCGGGAGTACCCAAACTAGGCAAAGTGCCTGGGAAGGGAGGCCCGGTCACAGGGACTGAGGCCATGGCCCAAGTGGGCTGATGACAGACATGCTTGATAACACCTGCGAGGCATAGGCATGGTGTAGGGGGTGGTTGGAGCCACATTGTAAGCCCTTAAAGTGAAGTAGAGCTGCCTGAATACCAACGTGGGACTGGGGATTGCTGAGGCAGCCTCCCTTTCTCAAAGCTCTAAGAATAACAAGGCATGGCAAGCAAGATGAAGTGGAGCAAGGCTGAGGAGTCAGGGCAGAGCACAGGCTGAGCAGCCACCGTGGGGATGTTGCATCCGCCCCTGGGATGATCACTTGTTACAGGCACAATGAAGAAACACTACACCTAGCTTCTCACAAGTCTCTAATTAGCACTGGAATACCAAATGGACTGTGTTCAGAGCTTAGCTGGTGTTGACCACAGGGTTTGCAGCACTCATTCTGTTTGATGCCATTTGAATTATTTATGCCTTAAAATGTCATCTTTGAACACTTGTAATTTATGCATTGTGCATAACCATTGACACTTACTCCCATGAAAGCAGGCTTATACAACCAAAAAAAAGGGGGTGGGGGTGGGGGAGGGAGAGGGGAACCACAGACCATCACGATTTCCCTGAGAAAACTGTTACAAAAACACCAAGTGGTGAGAAAACACCAAAGGAAACGTTAATAGACAAGGCTGTAAGTTCTGTCCCCATTACTGTAAATGACATTAACTAGAAAGCTTGAAAAGATCTGCAGGAATTGTAAGCACTTTGCTCCCAGACATTTCTATAATCACTGATACTTAGAAATAAATCAGTTTCCTGTTCAACATGCAAAACACACCTAGCTGCAACAAAGTACCTGGAATGAGCTGGAATGCCAGGAGCATCGCTAGTGAGTTCCAAGTGGCAGACTGGCCTGAAACCCTCTAAATATGGAGACTTCAGCAGCTCTGAAATCAGCCTCCTTGGCTGACTGGTAAGAGGAGAGGAGCATCTTATCAGTCTCCAGGACCCTTAAGGATAGGGCACAACCTGTGTCATTTTTTCATCCAAGGAGCAAAGATGGCAGCAACCCCGCTTCAGGGGAGCTTGCCTCCTTTCCCATTCCAAGGGGGAAAAAGCAGTTATACAAGCCACAACTCACTGCATCATTATCTTGAGGTGGCTGAAGCTCTGCTGACCATCTATCATGGTTATAGATAGCCCAGATTGAAAAAGCCAACCATCCAAGTGAGTAACACATTTTTAGACATAAAAATGATGCACATCAGTAATACAGTTTACTACACTAATTTAACAGTAGTGTGACCTCCAAGTAAGCCTGGATAGCAGAATGCTTTAAAGGCACAAGGATGCTATTTTGTTTAAGAGCATATGGAATAAAAAATAATTAAAATACTCTAAGGCACATGTCAGGTCAGGTCAGGTCAGGTCGCTGCATTTAATAACTACATTAGCAGCTATATTTCATTATTTTAATGCACACCACACCCTGAGATAAGAGTAAATCACACTGCAGATAAAAACTGAGAAAGGATAAGTGCCTAAGCCAGGATTACCAACAGCAAACAAAATACCTTGCAAAATGTGACTAAACAAGTCACCTTTTTTGCCTTTAAAAAATCAAATCAAATCAAATCCCAGAACATGGCAAATAGCCATGTTATTACCACCGGCAACAGAAATGCTTATGCTGAAAACATATATCCTAAAGGGTAAAATAAAATGGAGACAGGAATACAAGATAGTTAAAGTGTAAACACAATAGGATGGTAAGCAATGGTCAATTAGAAGACATAACTTGTCAATAGACACAGGAGTCTCATACACAGGGGGAAGGTGAGACTTCATTCTTGGAAATTAAACTGCACCCCAGTTGTGGCTGGGCATATCTGGCACAGCAAAAGCAACACTGGCAAGGAAAAGTTTGCTCATATCTGGAAAAGCAAAAGCAACACTGGCAAGGAAAAGTTTGCTCAAGACAGGACTAACCTGGCTATAGCTTGGGAAAGAACATGTTAGGTCTAATCTAAAGCCAGCTGGACAGTAATTCCCCTAAGGAGCCTGACAGACAGGGAGGAGTACAACTACAGTTCACTGGTGTTAACTAGCAAGAGGGCATTCATTTGTAGTTGCAGAGAGCTCCTTACATCATCATTGTCACTGTCCAGACTGCCCTTCTTCTTCTTTTTCTTCTTCTCATCCTCTCTCTTTTTCTTGTCCTTTTCTGGAATGATGTCATCAAGGAAACTGAGGTCATGCTGGGAAAAGAGGTAGTCCATGGCTTTTCTCACTGCAACAAGTGCCAGGATCTGATAGGATAGAAATTTAGTATTCCTTTATTTAAGGTTACCATTTCCTGCCCCCTTTCACTTACTTATATTGTGACCTTTAATCAGGCACATAGCCTTACCCTGTGCATTCAATTTGATAACATTCTTAACCCAAATACCTCACATCTGGCTGTAAATTAACATGCCTGGAATCTGATTAGCTACAGGTATAACTCATGTCAGATTAGCTCCTTGCGTTGGAAGCTGAGTTGGACTCCATCTTTTTAAGTCTTATGTCACCATGAGTCAGTATAAACAACAGAAACAATATACAGGCATACAGACTAATCTGCCATAGCTACTGTATAACAAGATACTATATTATTTACCATCTACTGCTGGGAACTGAGGGAAACAGTGAACAAAGGAAACTGAACAAACAAGCATTTTTTGTTCTGCTCTTGGGGATTTGTTTAGTTTTGGGTGGAGGGCTCTATACATTCAAGTCCTAAGATGCTATTTGAATGGTTTCCTTTGAATTTTTCTCAGCATCCCTAGATCTAAAAGCTAGTACAAGCTGGCAAAAAAACATACATACTGTGCTGAGTTTAGATTTGTGCAAAACTCAAAGGGTTTTGTTCCTAAAGGCATTGGCAGGTTGCTTTATTTCTCTTTTGAACTCCATGAATTTCTAATCCAAATTTAGCATACAGCTAAATGTTGCTTGGGTTTGATGTCTTACTTATATTAAAGAATAAACAAGCACTGATCTGACATCAGTTGCAGAGAAACAGGCAGGCTTGTGCTAAAACACTTTAACTTCCCTAGACATTCTGGGCACTTATACATGTGATGGAGCTCTGCTCCGACGTGTGCTAATTACCACGTGTCAGAGCAGACTCAATTAATCGAGTCTGCCGGTGGGGCATGCCAATTAGCATGCTCCAGCACCCTCTGCATCACGTGTATTCAGTGTCCCTGTGTTTCAAAATGGCAGCAGAGGTGCTTTACCTAAAGCTTGTTGAACAAACTTCACCATAAGTGTCACCATACACTTGTTCTAAGGCGCATTCATTTAGTACCTCATATTGGAGCTATTAAATTTAATGTGCATTAGGAAAAGTGCTTTAATGTATGTGTAGATGCGCCCACTGTGAGACAAATTATTTCTGTATTAAACATGTTCTGTTTAAAAGTAAACAGAGGATTCCTCTACTTGCATTCTTGTACATCAGCACCATCAAATGAAGTTATGATGCTAAATCTGGCCCAGTTGCTCCCATTTAACTCCACTGATGTCAATGGAATTACACAGATGTAATAAACTGGCCTATAAGTACAGAATGTTAAGAATTCTGTTTATTGTGCATAGGAAGAAACAGGAAGCAAAACAGCCTGCCTTGGATGCAATGGCAAACAGGAGAAAAATAACTGTAGTCCCTCAGGGCCAGACCCTATTCCATCTACCAGGAGGCTAAACAGACTTAGACACCTAAGTGCCAGCTTATACCATTCTGCTCAAGCCCCTGGAAATCCAGTAATGCATCTCTTTTTATAGCATGTTGTCATCTTAACATTAAAACTAAGTCACAAAAAAGCAGCAAGGAGGAGGATGACCCACCCACCTTCTGTACTAACCATTTCTCAGTGATTCAAGCAAGATAGTATAGGATCCCACTTAAGTGCCAAATCTGTGGAACAGAATTAAGCCTAAGTATGCAGCTGCAGCTTTTAAGTAGGATCTGCTTGTTTTTAAGATGCACTAGATTTTCTCACTGTTATCATTCTTGCTCCTTCTAATTTCATTTGTATTCAAAGTAAATGTGTTCCTTTATTTTTTTTACCTGTTTCTTCTCCCTCCCTTTCTTAAACAATACATTTCATACCTGCAACTAGACTTGTTCTTTAACAAAACCTGAAACCAGTTGAGTTTGGTCCAGGATTTATTCTAAAAGTTTCAGCTTTAGCTTAGCTGAAATTTGGCCCATCTTCAAGTTGGAGGCCACAGTCTATACAGTCCAAATAAACAGTGGAACTGTATGTAGCATTGTTCCAGGCACTCAAAATTTGGACTGAAACTTTCACTTTGAAACCCAGAATTCTGTTTATGCCAACCATAAAGTAAAGAATTAGAAAATGACTTGATCTGTGCCATTTTGTTTTGGATCTGACTTCTCCTAAGATTCATGTGTTCATGCAGGTTTGAGGATGTTCTTGAGCCTTGGATCCTGCTTCCAAATGTGTCTGAACTTCCCCCAAAAGTATGGAATCATGGGAATTCCAATAATCATCCAGCTGTGTCTATGGTGTGACCACTGTTAAACTCATCACTGAGAATAATTACTGTGTATTTGTCTCTTTACTATGCATAAAAACTACATAATAGTTTGAATAAAGCCATATACCTTTGCACAGCATGGTCTGTTGGGTGAACAGTTCAACCTTTGACATCTTAAAGTGAATCTATTATGCGCTATTTAAAGAACACATACCACCCTAACGATACAATGAAAATATGAAACATTAACTTTTATGACACAAAAGTTTCAAGAGGAGAAGTTTCTAGTTAAAGATTCTTTATTTAATCAAGTAACTTTCTCATTTTTTCTCTCACTCTGTCACATAAGTGAGCACAAGTCTGCCTTCAAATACTTTTGCTTTTGTTGTGGTTTGGGCTTTTTAATAGCAATGAAGCAGTTTACTGCACCATGTTTCATGTGGACTAGAAAGGAAAAGCAATACACCTTTTACCTGTTCAGTTTTCTTAGGAGGAGCTCATGGGAAGCATGACCTTGGCAGCAAATAGGGTCAAAACGAATTGCAGTTTCCTGGAAAAGATTAACTTTACAGGCTCATTTTCCACAAGAGTATTTAGAAGGCTGCCATGGCCAGTAAGAGCAGAGGAGATGGGAGGCATTCACTACATAGTCTCTATCAGTGAAATAGATGGCGTGTCATGAGTTCTATGCTAGGGCCTCTCAGCAGGGAGACAGCAGGACTTGCTTTGTGGGGTTTGAATGAAGGGGAAGGTTACAATAAGGAAAGGGAGGTTGAGGTAGGAGAAAAATACAACCAGATATAGGAGAGCCCCACCTACCATGACTGGGAATATGATAGCAGCCACAGTTGACTTGAGTATCCACAGGAGAGCCAGACAGACCACCTGCAGGAACGTAAATAGGTGGACCCGGCGCAAAGGGACATGACGCAGGTAGATAAAGTCAGGCTGATGTTTCAGAGGCATCAGAAGCAGCTTGAGACGGTCCATGAACTTGACAGAAGAAAAAAACAAGGAAATGTTAAATGGTACATTACCCTGAACAGCTGATGCACAATAGCCAAGTGGCTGATGGATTGTCAGATCGGGATTTATGAACCAGTGATACAAAAACAAACAAACAAAAAAACCAAAACCAGCCAACCAAACTGGTAGACATGCATTAGCTTGAACAGACTTTCGCTGTTTTCTGCTAAACAAGCTATATTTTTAAAACAAAAATTAGATGCCAAAAACCTAAATAGAAGTCACCTGATGTTCTGGAAGTGCTGAGGTGGTGAACCCCCACCCCAACCCCACATGGATTCAATAGTAGTTGTGGGTGCTGGACACTTCTCAGAGTCAGGCCAATTACTTTGAGGTCTGCAGCTATTAATTTTGTAGCCCAACTTCAGGCACCCATGTTCATCAATATATAAAATGAGAAGCTAGAGGCAGATTCCATAAAAGGTGTGAATGGATGCGATGCGACTGTCTTGATTTCAAAAGGAGCCTCACTCATTTCCAGAAAATGAGAATTTAGCTGTTTTAAGGAAGGAATGCCAGAAAACTGAGTAAAGACAACTGTCCTGATGATTCATAGCTTTCTAGTGTACCCCACTGAAATGAGCTCCTAAGACTCATGAACACTAAAAGACACTGTTTAAAGATAACAACTTTTCCAAATAATTGGCATAAAAATAAAGAGAAGTTACCAATAATGAACTAAACTGAAAAGCTAATCAGCAAGACAGCTCCATAGACAACACTTCAGTTGAAGATGTTTTTCCTTTGCTCAAATGTCCTGGGATAGTCAAAAAGGACATCCTATGGCCCTCAGACCACCTGGACTGGAGCACATGAGAAACTCCATTCAGCAGAACCAGATGAAGATGAATGTTACATTTGGCATGCTATTCCTTGCCAGAATCCTAGGCTTTTGCCCACTTTTGGCTGATGATGAAACCAGATTATTCTCAGTCTTGTTCAGAAAGTTTGTTAGAACCTAAGGTGCCACTTTCCTTGCCCTGCCTTCTGCCTAACTTTAGTTTAACACTGCTAACTATCTCTCTCAGTCTAGCAAGCAAAAGCTAGGGTCGTTTCAAGGAACCAAATAAATTCTTATGGCATTCCCAGAACTCACAGTCCCTTCCTAATAAAACACTGCTAAGTACTAAAGAAGGGTACAATTAACATGGTGTCAGAAATTAACAGAAACACTTCCAGCTTCCTGATGTCAATTAGAGCCTGAACTGTGAGAAAGGCCCCTTTACTGTTATTTCCTTGGCGACAAAGAAAGAGACCTTGGCTTTGCTCAGTTCATGAATAGCAATGTTCACACTGCCTCACACTGAAGAATAACAGCACCACAATAAATCACATTAACTTGACTTTTTGCAGTTTAAAGCAGCTGGCCCAATTAAAGGCCCACATATCTCAGAAGCACACTTGCACCTTAAGTGAGTACGCACTGTTCTCAGCACCAGTGTATCCATAAGGAAGGGGCTGTAAATGGTTTGATTCACACTGATAACACCACTTACAAAGATCATGACTGCTTCTGGTGGCATCCACCATGGCTTAGACGGTCAGAATTGTGCTAGCTTTCAGATGAGATAATTATTTAAAATCTCACTCACATGACATTTGCTAAATTTGATGGGAATGTTTGAAATGAAACTGAGGTGAAGGAGAAGGGAAAGGGCAGGTAGCTATAACAAGAGCAATTGTTAATGATTACCCTTCAGTGACAAGGTCCTTCAGAGAATCTAGTCTTAACTATCAAAGGGGCCTTGATTGCTATGAGAACTTACCTGCACTCCATTGAGAGAAGCAACGCCCATGTACAGGAACACCCCATAGAGCACAGGCATGGGAATAAACTAGAGGAAGCAAAAAAAAAAAAAAAGAATGGAAAAACAGAATAAATAACTGGACACCTGGAGCTAATTCACAGAGTAATGCAACTCATACCCTATGCTAACTTGGAATTTCTCAGCTATTTGAACACTGCAAAGTAATGGAAACCAGCAACCTTGACTCAGTCATTGTCAGTCATTTAATGAATGGGGTGTGCATTAGTAGTGTTAAAAATAAACAGGGCAAAGAATGAACGAGCCTAGTTCTTTCCCATCTGAACAATTACAACATGAAAATCTGTCCAACAGACAAAGGAAGTTAAGCCTTCCAGCTTTTCAAGTCAAAATAAGCTAAGTAACTACGGGCAGGAAAAGTTGCTTTGGTAAGGTTCAAAGGTGCCTTATTTAAGACTAGAAGCAGATAAAGTGCTGTGGCATTTCCAGCCTCTAGAAGTCTTGGAAGACTAATTCTCATGAGTTCCAAACCAGAGATCAGATAATTGCACAAACTGAACTTCTACTTCCTCTTGCAAGCTTTAATTTATAACTTGTGACAACCTAATGATTGAGAGCTACAGCCTGTGCTTTAAGAAGCTAGCTACCTGAGAAAATCACCAGCTTTCTGCTCTCCTCAGTATTACATCAACCCTCTCCACCCCCATCTGTTAAATGCCTATCCCAGATACTTGGATCAGGACTGCCCTCTCTAATGCAAGGGCTTCAAAGCACTTTAAAAGTTTTTAATGATTGAGACTCGGTCACAGTCACAGTGCATGTTAGATGACCATTTCTCTCTCTCTCGCTCTCAAACATATGCACGCGCACGCACACACACTGCACCTAATCCACCCTAGCATGGAACATGGGGGTTGTTGCAAAGCAACAGATGGCAGCACATGGTAATTTACATGCAGTTAAAAATATCTGGCATGCCAGCCTTGGACAAAAAGCCTTTGTCAACAGCAGGACAACTGTGTAGTTTGCCAAAAGCAAGAGAGTTCCCCAGGTGAGCAGCACAGTTGTGTATAATAAACATGATGTGATGGTAATAGAAATTTCTGAGTACAGTTCAAATTCGGGATTTGCTTTAAATCCTTAATGTAATTTAATTGGCCCCCAGCATAAATGAGTGAGTGATTACTGCATCAGTCACCCTGTGGTGAGAAAAGCAACTAGTGCAATGACCAGCAACCACCACTGAATGGCAGGCACAGCACATTCAATGTCCTTTCTAGAGTAGAGTCAGGGTGTTTCTATTTCCATTGTACAACTTAAGGAGGCCAATAGAATGGCAATAATTTACCTTTTTGCTGTAATGCCCATTACATTATTAATGGTTTACTAACTTATAAACACAATAGCATACAAAATCCCCTTGAGACCCTCATACCACATGCATTTAGCTTTAATCGCACAAACAGTTGCAATGAAGTCAAATAGATTACTCATATGCCTAAAGTTAAGCATGTGCTTAAGTCCTTGCAGGATCAAGGCTTTAATGAGTCTGTGATCCCCATGTCCTAGCTGAGTCTCATTCTCCCATCGCTTTCTATCAGCTTGCTGGCTGTAAATTAATCCTTCACAGTAGCATCAATTGTGACACTAGCTTTGCTAAATGTGATTTGCTGGTGTTCAGTATGAAAACTTGATTGATTTTCCTGCTGGCCACTTCTGACAGCCTTCTGATGTGAGGACTGTACTAGGAAAAAAGGTCACTTTACATCAGTGGTCACCAACCCAGGGATAGCAATCGACCAGTCGATCCCAGAGCCCCTTTAGGTCAATCCTGGGCTGGGGGGACAGCTGGGTGTGTGCACATGCGCACACCCACAACCCCAGCAGGTCAATCTGTGGGGGAGGGAAAGGGTGGGACCCAGATCAAGGCCCCCGCAGTGAGGGACTGACCTGCGGCTCATCCAGGAGCAGGGGAAGGTAAGTAGGGCCCCAGCCACACTGGGTGGTGGGAGGACTGGAACTCCAGGGGGGCTCCTCCAGGGGCACGGGGGGCTCCATCCCCTTCTCTGTGGGGGCAGCAGCGGAGGCAACAGAGGGGGCTGCTGCTGTGCCTTGAGCCCCGCTGCAGCTGGCCACATGCAGCTCAGCTCAGTAGCAGGGACTCATGTGGTATCGGGCCCTGGTCCGGACGCTGCTCAGGGGTGCGTGGGGGAGGCTCCTGCCACTGGACACAGCCCAGCGGTGGCCCCGGGGTCCACGCCCCTCCACCTGTGCTCCTGGATGAAGCGGCTTCACCTGTGGGCTGCCTGCTGCCCCTGGAGCACAGGGGAGGAAGGGACACAGGCCTCCACAGCACAAGTGGGCCGGGGTCCAACACCATGCTCCTTTGGCTGCCAGACAGACATAGCTCAGCCCAGTGGTGGCAGAGAACTGGGCTCAGGCCCCAGCCTTAGCCTGCTCTGGGACTCTCCACCCCCCTGGGGTTCATGGGTGGGGGGCTCCCACCACTGGGTGCAGCCCGGCAGATGCCTCGGGCACCCATACCACTCCCCAGATGTGCTGCAGGACCAGCAGCCAGCCTGCAGCAACAG